AGACGACAAATGTTAGGACACAAATTGAATGAGGTGACACAGTGTAACAAGCAAGAAGTCTTTTATTCATCATCAAAACAGCAATAAATCAGGTGGAACAGCAGTTGTCGTCCTGTCCTGTTCTCGCGTTACGGGTTTCACGTCAATCTGACGATTTGCGGCACTGTCGTGACTCTTTGGTCATAGTTACAGGAAGCGGAATTCCTTTTTTACCTCCATGAAAAATGGAGGTATTGTTTTTGGCGGCGTCTGTCTGTGTGTCTGTGTGTCTGTGTGTGTGTCTGTGTGTCTGTGTGTCTGTGTGTCTGTGTGTGTTTCCGCAACTTTGTAGTCAGCATAACTTCATAACGCCTTTATGGATTGTGATGATATTTTGTATGCTGATAAGTCTTAGGAAGACAAAGGTCAAGGTCAAATATGGACCTCCTGGTGGATGACCTTGGTACTGCAGCAGAACTTCCGGTTTTTGTATCTTTTGTCCTGAACATGCTATGGTCTTCAATTTTTGGTGACAGATAGCTTTTCCTGTTAGGAATAAGTGGTGTGAGTTTGGTCTCCCTAGCAGCTTGTTCAGGAACTGCAGGGGACTTTCGGGCGAAATCTTTGAAAGCCAATAAGTCCAGATAGGAACAGCGTATTTTCATCATTTTTGGTGTGTAGGTATCTGACAGAGAGATGTACATAATTAACTGCAAATTATGCAAATGAGGACTTTATTTGCATAATTAATGAGGAAATTCTATAATTACAGTGTTTTACATTATAGAACTTTCATACATGTAATGTATGTAACCTATGGCAGATGGAACATCAACAGATACTAATTATGCAAATGATGACCTAATTTGCATAATTAATGCAAAAAACGTAATTTCTCAATGGTGAATGATGGGAATGTCTTACTTGGGACATCTTTAAGTTAATCAAAAGTTAACATCACGATGCATATATTATGTTAATGCAGAGGTCATTTGCATAATTAAAGAAGAAATTTACATTTACATATCAAGCCCATATTTCATGGAGGTATGAGATCTCGGAACTCTTGTTTTCTAGGAACAGGCCAAAATCAATGCGCGCGCGGACGTCATCCATAAAATTTACTTGGTGTGGCCTTACCGACTTTCTACTTTCGCTATACAGCTGGCACACCAACTCCCGGCTCGGTACGTTCTGGCTGCCCTGTTTTTCTTTGCCCACGTCGCAATGAAATTCAGGGGCGGATTCTCTTTAGCCATTGTTGTCATGGTGAACAGCTCATCAACGGCGACAGCTGTCAATCAAACCGGGACCTACCAGCTCTGTCCGAGCAGTGAGTCAGCAAACCAGGTGGAGACATTACCCTGGATTATCCAGTATCATTCCACACTATATATACTGATATTTGTATAATTAGATACTTCAACACGCAGGGAACGTTATAATTTAGCGTAGCGGCAGAGTGATCGACTCGAAACCAAGAGGTCCCGGGTTCGAGTCCTGACTTGCCACCGATCTTGTGCCCTTGCATTTGGGAAAGGCACTTTACACGACTTTCCTCATTTAACTCGAGTAAAAATGAGTATTATCCTGTCCTGTAGTTGTATTTTGTGTTGGTGGCGGCATAAAATAAGTTGATATAACTTGAGTGTGCCGTCGCCATGTTTGGTCATGAAATGTTGGAAATATATATATAAAAAAAAGACAATGCGTATGGTAAACATGGGACCAGAGATATCCTGCTGATAAGAGTGTAGTAGGGAATGTTCAACTAACATATACTGCTAGTGCTACACCATCAAGTATATTAATTTAGCTTTGACTTTATGTGATGGGGGAACATATATGCCTGTTGTCACTCATAATGTGATGATTTCTACTATTGTTGCATGTGCAGAACAGTCAAGGGGAACTGGACTGGAGTGAGAGTGTAAAGGGAGTTTTACTCGGTGCCTACTTTTATGGATATATTATTACACAGGTGAGCGATTGAGACCGTGTTCTTGACTTTATGTTTCCAGCTACTTAGTTATGTTTTAGGGGACATACGCTGTGTATTCTATACCAGCTCTACTTATAAAAAACTTTTTTGAATGATCTTGTTAATTTTCTTCTTACTTGATTTGCGAAATGTTTCTTATCTCTCCGAGTAGGTCATGGGTGGAGTGCTGGAGCGCAAGTTCGGCGGTAAGATAGTATACGGGACGGGCATGTTTGTTGCAGCGGCCCTGAACGTTCTCAGTCCCGTGGCCTCACGGGCGAGTCCCTGGGCGATGTTTGCTGTCAGGTTCAGCATGGGACTGGTGTCTGTAAGTTATACATGTCTCCTTCCTGACCGTTTTCCAATGTCATGCAGACCTTTTGGCAAGGCGGAATGTTTGTATTACAGAGGAATAGAGTTAAGATTTTGTACTTGGCCGTAAGTAATGAAATGTCAGCGAGAATATAAGATTTTGTACTTGGCCGTAAGTAATGAAATGTCAGCGAGAATAAGTTGCATTGTTTATGCTTCGAATCAACAGCATTTTAACACGATTTTAAGTGTACAAGTGTTTTATTCGATTTGATGCGATTGATGGATACTGCACCAAGACCTTCCATATTTCCTAAGCACCTCTGTTCACCACAAACGTCACCATACCTTTCTTTCACAAACGTCACCTAACGCTTTCTTTTCCGGTGCAGTCCTCTGGAACACACTTCCTCCTAATGTCAGAAATGCAAAAACACTCAGTGTCTTCAAGACTGCCTTTTCTTTACTCAACAGTGAATATGATTTGTTGTTAATTTCCCATTTTGCTTTTAGACATTGATATCCAAATTCAGTTCCATTATTATTTATATCATTTGTCATATTTATTTCGTATGTTTTATGTACTTTATTAGTCTGTTCCGTTTCTTTTATCATTACCCTTTGATTGTACTTAAGTTACCTTTTATTATGTTATGTATGTCACAGGGAGCTTTGAAAAGCGCCAAAATGGCGATATGCTAACCTGTATAAATAAATAAAATGAAAAATGAATAAAATGAATGAAAATACCGTTTTCTCCAGGGAGTTCTGTTCCCCTCCTTCTACGGACTCTGGGGCCGATGGGCACCTGCTACTGAAAGGACAAAGCTTCTGGCATTTTGCTACATAGGTAATATAGTGTATACTTTTTGTTTCCCTTTTGGATCACATCCTGTCGTATCCACAAATAGTGTTCTGGTCAGCCTGGGCCAGCCCCCACCATCCTTCCTACGGGAACACGGATCGTAGCATTTGGCAAAAAGGAGGGTAAATTCTACTCTCCAAGCAGAGGTTTGGGTTTTGGGGGTATTTTTAGTGTGTTTTTAGGCTTTTTTATCGGGGTTTCTCTTTTGCACTGAATTTTTTTCCCACCAAACCCGAAAAAAAATTCAGTGCAAAAGAGAAACCCCGATAAAAAAAGACCTAAAA